TCAGGCTCAGAAAGTGGATTAAAAGGTGAAGTAAGAGGCTGCATATGGGGAATAACTGAAGGGGTGGGATTAGGAGCTTTGAATGGAATCACTGAAGTTGGAATTAAATCTGTAATAAATGGAATAGGCACAGAAGATTGCCTTTATGTAAAATAGAAAGTACGATGATCCAAACTCCCACTGGATTCGTCATTCTCAATAAATTTTGCATGACTGGTCTCAACAATCTCCATAAGTTTAGAGGGACAATAAAATCTGTAACCAAATGATCTCTCAGGATACCCAATGAAATGACAAGTAACAGTGCGAGGATCAAGCTTCTTAATATCAGGATTGTATAACTTTGCTTCTGCAAGACATCCCCACACATGCAAATGTCGAAGACTAGGTTTACAACCTGTCCAAAGCTTGTAAGGTATTTCAGGAGCTGCTTTACATGGCACCCTATTAAGAATATAAACTGTCGTTTTAAGAGCTTCTCCCCAAAAATTCTCAAGTAGAGAAGAATGGCTCATCATACTGCGAAAAGCATCTTGATAGGTGCGGTTTATCCTCTCTGTAACTCCATTTTGTTCAGGAGAACTAGGTGTGGTATACTGTGGCACTATACCTTGCTCCTTGAAGTACGAGACGAAAGGACCATGATTCATACCCTCTTGGTCCATTCTCCCATAATACTCACCACCTCGGTCCGGTCTTACAATTTTAATCTTTTTGCCGAACTGTTTTTCAACTTCAGTTTGATAGATCTTAAACATGTTAAGTGCATCGAACTTTTGGTGTATTAAATACAAATAAGCATATCTTGAGAAATCATCAATAAAGGTAATAAAGTACCTTTGTCCTCCTCGAGACGCGGTAGGAAACGGACCACAAATATCTGTGTGAATAAGGCCTAAACGACTAGATGACCGACTAGCCTCAAAATTACGTTTCTTCTGCATCTTCCCCTTGACACAGTCAACATATAAATCAAAATCTAAAAAATTTAGTGGTCTTATAATCTCATCCTTGACCAAGCGTTCAAGTCTCTTTCGAGATACATGCCCCAATCTCCTATGCCACAACATAGATGAATCCTCTCTAATAAAAGCACGTTTTGATCCGGAAGGTATCGAATCCACAGAAAAACAAGAAGCAGGTATATGAGAATCATTCAACAATAACTGATATAAACCATCAACTAAATAACCATGTCCAACTATATTATTACCATAATGAATAGTAACTGATCCATCACCAAAAGAAAATCAAAAACCCAAAGCATTAAGTCTTGAAACTGAAAGTAAATTACGCCTAATAGTAGGAACATAAAAAACATCCTGAAGTTCTAAGGAAAAATCAGTGTGTAACACTAGCGAAATCGTCCCAACAGCTGCAACATGAACCGCATCAGCATTACCCAACACCAATTTCTCCTCAGCCCTGGGTTTTCTCTGGCTTCGAAGTCCCTGTGATGAACAAGAGATATGAACAGATGCACCTGTATCAATCCACCATGTATGATTAGGCACATTTACTAAGTTGGATTCAAATATTACCATAGCAACTCCCATACCTGCTTTGTTTTTCTTTAACCAATTTTTGTAGCTGTAGCAGTCTTTCCTTTGATGTCCTTTCTTCTTACAGAACCAACATTCATCATTTGTATTTGCATGCTCAATGCCTTTTCCTTTGTTGTCATGCTTTCCATTTTTCTGAATTGCCTGATTCCCTTTCTTGCCGCCTTTCCACTTAAAGTTATTCCTGCTTTTACTGCTGATAGTAAGATGAACTGACTTAAATTTAGAACCCTTGAGCCACTCTTGCTCGGTCATACAAAGTGCCAATAGCTGTTTAATGTCCCATTTTGTCTCTTGTGAATTATAATTTACCCTGAAAGCATCGAAAAATCTAGGCAGAGAGTAGATCACCATATGGACCAATAATTCATCGTCAAATGTGATTCCCTGCTCCCTGAGACCATTAACCAGCTTGCATATCTTATAAATATGCTCCCTCACTGAACCACTGCCATCATAACTGGTTAACATAAGTTGTGTCAAATAATAATACTGAAGTTGTTTCTTGGTACCTATGAACTACTTCTTAAGTAAATCAAGAAGCGCCTTGACAGTATCAAATACAGGAATACCACCACGAATAGTCTCACCAATAGAACCACGGATCAACCTGATGGCCATGGTATTAGCCTTAGTCTACTTAGCATGCAACAACTTTACTGCTTCAGAAGATTCTTCAGTGATTGAAGCAGGTTTCTCCTCATAAAGTACAAACTCATTGTCCAAGAAACCCAACATAATATTAACACTTGTCTTCCAAGTAGTATAGTTTGAACCATTCAATGGTTCAATCCCTGTGAGCTGTCTTTGAATAGTGGAAACGTCCATAACTGTAATACATGTTATATCAAAGAACATAAAAATGAACATATAAAATAATATGTTACAGCTTTATGGATTATAACTTTAATTCGTGCTTGGGTTTTAAGCCGAATTTATCAAGGTGTTTTACTATATGCAAAACTGTCCACCCTGCGGGAACATATAAAATGTCATCTAAAAAACACTTTTTGGCAGAATTTTAGATTTTATTTTATCCCAAACTTGCGATCAAATCACACATAGACCTATTTGATTATACTTGAATTGTTGCCAAACACTTCCACTACCTTTTGGCAAGAGGATTATTTAGTTATAATCCAAGTACTCTCAAATATTCTACTCACTTATCCTACACTAAGACATTAATCACCTTTTGGCAGAACAAATACCCTCATGTAAGTAAGTACACTATGAGACCTCAATAAAACCAATGCTTTAAAATTTAAAAATAATAATAACCTTTATGAGCATGTCACTTTTTAGCAGGCATCACTCACTTTGACTATTAATTTTGAAACGGTCATTTTACCGGTCCTCATAAACCCCAATGAAAGACTTTATCTTCTATATACAGTATGTGTTTCAAAATAACTCACATAACAACATATAAAGATTTTTCTTACAAATTGATTGCATACAAACAATCTCCAAGAATTTGCATACAAACTGATTGCACACAGTCTCGTTCGGCATGCACAAGAATTATCATACAAATTGATTGCATACAAACTCGTTGGGCGTGAACAAGAATTAACAACATACAAAGAAATCATACTAATTAGATATATATGAATCAATTGATACCAATTGTTAATATACTTATGGTGGAATCTCGTACAAAACCAAAGGTGCTCAAATCCAAACAGAGGTGCTCAAATCAGAATAAAAAAGGTGCTCAAATCAGAATATAAAATTGATAACAAATCATGAATGTAAATTGATAACAAAATCATGACTCTGTGTTTTACGGTACATAGTCCAGAATCTTCAGACCTAAGGACAGCAAATCAACTAGATGCTTACTTCTGGTATCTTTTAACTAATATATATATTCACGCATCAATTGATTGCACAACGATTATTATAATATGCAATTAATTCATACAAGAATATCCGGAAAACAAACACAAAATCCGATCCAAACAGTACAAAACACATGTACACAGTTTGCAATCAAATATAAATTTATTTATTTATCCTACACTTAAATTAAATAATACATAATGTGTTTTCAATTCACAATTTTGATTTCTACAAACCTTAACCTGGCTCTGATACCAATTGTTGGATTTAAAACAAATTACAAGTAGAAATCAAAATTAATCATCAATTAAAGAGTGATTTTTGATATCATACCTGATTAGGAAAATTTAACTGTAGATACCTTTGAGAATTCTGTATCGCCCTTTTAAGAGATCTAAAAATAGAGCGCTTTCCCCCCTTCTGAAAGTTGTCGATACGATAGGACTGAATAAGGGTTTTAAAACCTCTACATATAACAACAACAGGGGGGGACGGTTTCTCTACAAACAAGCATATCTAAGTTTCCTTTCCTATCATGGAAACTTAGATATCAATGGTTAGAAATAAATCACACCAGATAAGTTGAAAAACCACAATCCAACGGTATAAAACCATACTCCCAATTAGACCACCAAATTGAAAATTACAAACCCAATCCATCAAATATCAATAATCACATTGCAATCCTACTTTAAAAAACGTAGTGCATAGGACCATAAAATAATTTTTATTATATATATATATATATATATAAATTCCAACATCTCATTCTCCTTCTCAAAGATTTCAACTTGGCTATGGTTCTTCTTCGGTAAGTAAATGATTTGATAAAAGATAAAATACCGAGCAAATATTAGAGGAGGGAGAGAGGAACCAGTTCTAAAAAAAAAAAAAAGGTTGTGACACATATAATCTATAATCTATATACACACAGACACACATATATACATTACATATATATATACACACACACACAGAGACACACACACACACAAAACAACATCTCACCCTCTGACCCACTTTCGTTCCGGCCGTCATCCACCACCGGAATCACTCCAGCACCGACCCACGCTAACAGTCTCTATGCATATTTAAGTGAAGGACATTGTTATACTTTTAAGTTAATAAATCAAGGGTAGTTTTGTAATTTTGCATTGGTCAATGAGGTTAAAGATGTTATTTCATGCAATAGAAGGGGCAAAATTGGCCTTCTATCAATTTTTTCCTGCTGACATCAGCACACACCGTCAGTTGCTTAACGGTAGGGGGTAATTTGTTATGTAAATTAAAACTTCAGGGATGGTTGATGAAATATTGAAACATAAAAGGGGTGTAAGTGAAATATTGTAAAACGTCAGGGGTGTGGTGAAATTTTCCCAAGTTGAAAATAATAAGTACCGAATCGTTATGTTCATGAACTAACACGAATTTGTGTGTACTTTGCATATATAGCAAAAACAGCAGTCAAATCTCTCTCTCTATATATTACTAATATATATATATATATATATATACATATATATTGAGGAGAATTTACTAGATAGACAACGACCTGGTTGATTGTGGGCAAAGGTTAGAGAGAGATGGTCTTGCTTGACCTCTACAACGCCAGCCTGTCATATCCCACCCAAACAGAACTGTCTGTGTCTCTTACTACTCTGGCGTATAATACATGTTGTGTGTGTGTCTCTCTCTATATACACATATATTATATATGAATGATTTCATATTCAACATTTGGTGGTGAATCGTTTCCTTTTGTATTCTGAAAGAGATTCTTCTGGAGATAAAAGAGAAAACCTAGGAACCCAGCAATTGTGCGAAATTATGAGTCTTTTTGGCCTCGGAAGCAGGTATTAATCCTGATATATTATCATCTATAATCTCACTTTCACGGTTTCAACATGATCTAATAATATACATATATATATATATGTGTGTGTGTGTGTATTTATTTATGTGTGTTTATATGTTTATGCATGCATTGGTAGAGACAGTGTTTGGTAATTGTTTTTTCGGTGAAACCGTGAACATGTTTGGTAATTGTTGATCTTTCAAGTTTGTTTGTTTGATGATGATCTGAGATTTTGACTTTGAAACTTGCTTTTATTGTTAACTGATGACAGTAAAATTGAAGCGAACTTTAGTTGGTAAGAGTTACGGTTCATAGTAGTTCAGTTGGATTCTCCTGTGGATTAGAGTTAATTAAATGGACATTAGTCAGAGATGGGAATAAATGAGTATGTTTCAGTGGGATTGTCAACTGCAATTGGGTTGATAAAGGAAAATTTTGTATCTGTGCTGTTTGATTATATTGTTAAATGAAATAGGGACAGTTTTAAATGGCAATCTCATGGTTTGAGGATTTTCAAGGCTAATACAAAAATTAGTTTACAATTTGAACTTGGAAGACTGTATCGTCTTTTGTCCTACTAAGTTTGTTTCAAGTCTACTAGGTACCCTTGGTATACAAATTTAAAATCTGAAACATCAAAGTGGTTAAGGATCCATGCTTCTGAATACTGTACCCTTCTGTTTGTGCCTTACTGGTGGAGGTCGATGCCGATATTTTACTTTTGTGGGCATCCATGATCAATTTTTAATGAAATATGGAATATGACAATTTCTTGTAAACATGAAGTGTGGCATCTTTTCTCTTTAATAATTGCAGACAACATCTCACAGTAGGCACGTTGCTAGGCTTACTGCTAAATTTAATTTAATTTTTGTTTGCCGTAGTTCTTAAATAAGTAACTGTTGGTGTCTATCATACTTCATTCTCATTTTTGAGAATCCCAAAAATTACTATTGGGATGATTTGTGGGGAATTTCTCGTTTAGTTGAAATAGGGTTTTAATGAGTTGAGTTGAATTTTAAATGTTTGTGTGGTACTAAATTTAGCATTAGGCCTGATACGACCATTATTCATTTATTCCAAGTATAAATTAAAGTCCATGAAGTTTGTGGTTCAACATATTAGTGTCTTCATGGCTGCAAGAAACCATCCTTTTGTGCTGCTATAGTATTGTGTTTTACTTTCTTTTCCTATTGCATGCTTATAAGTTGAGATATATATATATATATATATATATATATAGCTATAGCTATATATATTTTCCCCTTATTTCCTGATACTAATTTTTTCTTAACCTTGAAATGTGCAGAAACCAGAAGACATTTCGGCCTAAAAAGAGTTCTCCATCAGGAAGTAAGGTAAATGTTCTGCCTTAAGGCTATGGGGAGGGTCTAATTCTTCTTTGATTTTTCTGTTCCATTTTTTTTTGTGCGCGCGCAAGCATGTGTGCGTTTTTGGTTGTTGAAGCTTGTCTTAACAACAAGCTTAGCCCTAACTCTCTGGGGTTCCTTTTCATTTATTTTTATCAATATGCAGGGTGCACAACTTAAAAAACACATTGATGCTACCTTGGGTGGTGGGAACTTGAGGGAAGCTGTCCGACTACCCCCTGGAGAAGATCTTAATGAGTGGCTGGCTGTAAATAGTAAGAACTAAAAATTATAGCACTTAAATGTTTAACTTTCTTAACCAGAAGATATACTCTGCTGCTATTTGTTTCAGCCATGACATTTCTTTCAAATTTGCGATAATAGCCCATGTTTATATGATATAATGACAATACGTTTTGGAACTTATGCATGTAAAAGTTTCATATTAGATACAATTATAGAATTGCATATAGAATATGTGATGAGAACCCATGCAATGTAAAAGTCTCTTAGTTTTCCATTTGACTTCAGAAAGTTCAATTTTCATTGCCCACTTCTAGTTATTTTTGGCACCCTCTTCCTAAACCTTGTTATCATACTACTACATATATACACATTACTTACATATTACATGTCTGTGTGTGTTTGTTTATAGACCATCATAAAACATTTATGATGCCATTTGCAAGTTCTTTTGTAACTAAACATTCTTTTATTCGTCTTTTTCAATACAGCGGTTGACTTTTTTAATCAAGTGAACATTCTATATGGCACTCTTACTGAATTCTGCACACCGTCAAACTGTCCGACAATGACTGCAGGACCAAAGTATCTTTCTATATCCCTTCCCAGAGTACTTGTTCTGAATAAATTCATTGAATTTTTGTGTAGTTTGATGCTTGATCTATGTCTCTGAGCTTCCTAGAGATATTCTTGTGATGTGCCTGTTTTCTACTTGTCTTGCAAAATAAAACGTGTTTCTGTTCTGCTTAACAAAATCAGCTCTCTCTCTCTCACGCGTGCACACACAATGTTGGACCTGATTCGAATAATAATCTGGCGAATAATTATGTTCTTGGGATGTGAACTTTGATTTTGATGTGAACTTTGATTTTGATGTTTTAACTATTCTGACCATCACGACATCAGATGTATGTTGTCGATTTGGAATTTAAGGTGCTTTATCTACCAGTTTTCGCGCTGCATTGTGCTGTACGTGTCATATTGTTTCTAAAACTGTCGAATTGACCTTGTCCAACAATCTCTAACCCCCTCAAAAGTCCCAGTGGGGGATGGGTTTGCAGGGATGAGGAAATCAAAATTCTGTAATTGTCAATAGAGTAAATCATGTTTAAAGGGTAAAAACTGTCTAGAATGTTACAATTATTTTAAAGCATGGTAGTAATACCAGCTTTTATGCAGGTCCTTACCGGTGCAAATCAAAACCATGCCAATGTTTTTAATAGATCAGAGGTATGGGTTTTTTTTAAGAAGAAGAAGAAAGAAATGGAAAATAACTGAAGTAATCAGAAATCTGGACATTGAATTCATCTTAGATAGAGTTCGTTAGTCAAGTTCATTGTTAGGCTGACCAATTTGAATTCAGAGTGATAATTTTTGCGTTTATTTCTTACTAAATGCTTCAATGTATCCTTTGTATGCTACTTTTGGTTTTTCATTGGTCTAGTAAATTTCTCTTTTGAACATATGTATCTCCACTTTTTTTTCTTTCCTAGTTATATATGTGCCTCCACTTAATCATATCCATTTATGTATTCAAAATGCAATTTCTCAACTAAACTTATTTTCATGCAGATATGAGTATAGATGGGCTGATGGAGTTACCATAAAGAAACCCATAGAGGTATCTGCTCCTAAATATGTAGAATTTCTAATGGACTGGATTGAGGTTCAGCTTGATGATGAATCAATTTTTCCTCAAAAATTGGGTGTGTATTATTCCTTTATGCAGCAAGATGTTTTTTTTTTTTTTTTTCTCAATCAAAATACTTTGGTTTTGATCTTAATTGCTATGTGTTGCAGGGGCACCATTTCCACCCAATTTTCAAGATGTTGTTAAGACAATATTTAAGCGATTGTTCCGTGTATATGCTCACATCTACCACTCACATTTTCAAAAGATCGTGAGTCTGAAGGAAGAAGCTCATTTGAATACTTGCTTTAAGCATTTTGTTTTCTTTACATGGGTAAATATCACATCTTCTTAACTATTCAACCTATTGGTTTTCTCCGTATTACATCGATTTGTAGTTTGAAGTAGTACTGCTAGTTCATTACATTATCGTCCACTTCCGAACATGTAATATGCTTTAGCAATTGTAGGCCAACAGCTGTTTTCCTAGTGAGACTCAATTTCTAGTCTAGCTATAAATTTTTAGACAGCAAGAAAATATGCTTGAAGCAATCCTTCTCTTGGCAATTGATAACCCACCCTTGATCTCTGCTGCCAATACCTTACCAATGTGGTACAATGACTTTTGCGGCAATCCACAATCTTACTGCCGCCAAATGAAATCCTTTTGGTTAATTTTTGCAAGGGTTTGGCATTTTGAGCATTGGCTGTGGATGTGATCGATACATGTTTGTGTACCCTATACATCTATAGACACACAGGCGCTCTCCTATATAACTCGTGTGTGTTTACTACTAGGTTTTAAGTCGGACCCAAAGAAGTCGGGAATACCATGGTTTAAGGTGTTTGTAGTTTGTTCTTGTATTCCAAGTCAAGCACAATAAAACTACATCATCCAAAATAAAATTAAGTTGAGAATAAGGCAACCTTGTTCGACAATTAAGGCATCCTTGTTCGACAATTAGATTTTCTTTGAGCTATCAAATTGGCTTCACATGTTCGTCTTTTGATGGTCCTTTAGTTTCTCTAATTGACTGAATGTGAATGTGATTGTGATGCAGGAATTTTGCTTGATCGACAAGGGGGAGCTTGCACCTCTCTACGAGCTCGTTGAATCTATCTTACAGTAGTAGTGCCTCGCGAATATCTTTTATTTTTCTTTCATTTTTAGTAATCAGTAGACATTTTTTGTGGGCTTTTGTTTGCTCATTTATCTTTGTTGAGGTCTTTTAGTGTCCCCAAAAGAAGAAAAAAAGAAAAAAGAGAGAGAACTTCGATTTTGCGGAGCTGGATGACATGATTGGTCATTTTATCTTTGTAAAGCCTTGCAATTTTCGTTCTTCTTGTTCTATTGTATTGGATTTGTCCTTCCTGTTTGGTCATTTACTCTTGTTTGAACGAGAATACGAGATGCATTCTTCAATCGCCCCTATTGACTCTTCTCCAAACGATTGGCTCTGTTTGTGCTAGAGCTAGTCATCAATCTTATCTCTGACTCTCATAGTTTAGCCTTGGCAGCCATGCAACTACATATTGGTCTTTCCATCTAAAATTTTAAAAATTATAAGGTGATAGTACCATATAAAAACCTTTTTTTATTCTTTAGACTGATTTATTTAACACATAATTCTAATAAAAAGGTTGTTATTCGGATAAGTTCAAGTGTTAGTTGAATTCTTAGAAAAATATAAATTAAAATTAATCAAATTAAAATTTTAATGGGCATTGGAGAATTGGTAGAGCGATTTCGTGTGCTCATGTTCGAAAAAAAAAAATTCAATGGCTCCATCAGTTGGACAGAGAATTAATAAATGGGTGCTGATGCTCTCATTGATTCAATCAATATGCACCTCCTGATATGTAGAGAGTCAAAGTGCCCCACGGTTGCAAGTTGCAACCACACGCACGCACACACCCCTTCCTTTGGCGGGAATATGTAGGCATCCCATCAGACGTATCAAGAAAGCTTCTTTCTCATATATTTCCTAATAAAAACGAAACACACATCCCGCCGTCACCGACCACTGCAAACACTCTCTCCACGCACTCTATCTACACCATTTGTCTAACCGTCGTTAAACAATGACGGTTTTAAGGTCCCGTGTAGTCCCAAAAGTACAATCTCAATCCACTCACAAAACCCTCAAAAAGGGGGAAATCGAACCTGCGACCCCTGTGAAAGCCCTAGAACCCTCGAGTCATCAATCTCCTTCCACACCGAATTCGAGCCCTTTGTCGGAAACCCCATACCTCAAAGGGTTTGGTCCCGATTCAATCTCGTCCTCTGGAACCATCCGGAGAAGGAGTCTTCGTCTTGCTTCAAAATCCAATTCCAACTTGATTGTCGAAAACGTTTCGGTTTCCAATCGAAAAAGATACAGCCGCGCTGCTGAAAGTAGTATGGATTTCGACAGTGAATCTGATTACGGGAATGTTAAAAACGAGAGTGTGGTTGAACAAGATCGAGTTTTGGATTGGGAGGCGAAGAAAGTAAGGGTTTCTGATCAAGATTGCAAGGCGATTAGGGTTTCTGGAGAGTTGGGTGTTGTAATCGAGGGTGAACAAGCTGAGTTCAAAGTTGATTCAGTGTCTAGAGATTTGGGTAACTCAGGTTCGACAGGAAGTTCTAGCCGATGGAGCAACAGAATCCAGAGTGTGACAGAGAGGAAAGGGAAGAGAAAATTAGGTCCTAATATTGATTCATTGGTTTCGGAATTATGGGTAGAGGATGAAGGAGGCAAAGGGTTTTTGAGTTTGCGATCAGGAATGAAAATTGCAAAGATGGAAGAAATCAATGGTGACGATGGTGGTGCCTTAGTCGGAGTTGGGAGTGATGATGGTGAGAAATCAGTCCATAAGAATGAGGGAGAAAGGGAATGGGAAAGGGAAAGGGAAACTGGCAATCTTAAAGGCAGGAGGAAGTCCTCAAGAGGAGAGAAAGGGAAAGGGAAACTGGTTAATGAGTCCTTGGTATCAAATATTGTTGATACAGTGGATTTGGATTTGAAAACCGAAGCTGAGATATCAATTGGTCTTGGGGTTTCAGACACTGTCCGTTTGCTTGATGCCAAGAAAGAATTGAAGTACCAAAATGCTGATGGAAGTGGTAATTCTGTTGAGACAAGAAGGAGACTCAGCAGGGAAGAAAAAGGAAAAGAGAAAGTGGTTGGGGATGGTTTGTCTTCGGATGGTATTGACGGGGTGAACTTGGAATTGAGACTTCAAACTCAAAATCTAATGGGCGATGTAATTTCAAGTTCTATCAGTTTGGAAGATAATGTAGCATTGCAGAGTGAAAGGCATGTTATAGAGACTGATACTACAATTGAAAAAAACCATAGGAGAAGGCGTTACAAGGAACGCAAGGAACGATGCCGAGATATTGCCAGAAAAAATGCATCTCGTTTTGCTCATTTCTCTTCCCACGAGGAAGAGGAGAATTACGGAACTGATGAGGCTGAAGGAGAAATGCCAGTAAGGGAATTGGACAGGGAAATTGAGGACTGGCCTGGTCCCTTTTCTACTGCTATGAAGATTATAAAGGACCGTGAAATGAATATGAATGTGCAACAGCAGAATGTCTCATTGGACAAAAGCAAATCGGAACCTGTGATTTGGTCTCGCAGAAAGGATCACCAACGTGAATGCTCAAAGCCTTTGGTCCCCTCACTGCAAGAACTATGCATGAGAATTCTTGCCAAAAATGCAGATGCAATCACTTCACTTGACTGTGTCCCAGATGTTCTGAGGCACAAGCTCAGTCACTTGCTCTGTGATTCTCGTAGAATGAACATTCATTTTCTTGACCTCCTTGTTCGTGGATCTCCCACGGAGGTACGTGTGAGGGATTGTTCATGGCTAACGGAAGAACAGTTCACGAGGACCTTTGAAATGTGTGACACCAACTACTTGACGGTACGATTTTGTATTCTTTTTCTTAAACAAAGATTGCATTTGTGGATTGTATATTTTCTTTTTGCTAAGTTATATGCATTGGATATCATGAAGTGGCTTATGATTAGTATTGCAATAGAATGGGTTCTGACTAAGGCCCCTACAGTGACTGTTTTAATGGAGGAGTGATTATCACCTGTTTGACTTCTCATTGCATTAGAATATCTTGTCAGTAAACTGAATTGGTTGACGTTTGTATCTATTGGTCCATGCTGGTGCTTTGGCATCAGAATTGTAATGCCAGCCATTCGAGCTTTGGTATACATTTTTAGAACTTGTCTTCTTGATAATTGCACTTCCCTTGATATCCTGTTCTGGCCATAAACAACTCTGAACTCCAGGTGTAATTTATGTATTTATTTTTTCATAACTAACAATTCTACATCCTGAGGTAATTCTGCACCTATTGCTGAGTCTATATGGAAATACATGTTTCCATTATAATCTTTCAAAATTCTATCAGAGTGTCTTGCCAAGTTGGCAATATAGACAGTTTTAGATCCGTTAAGTTTGGAAGAAGGAATGTCTTCTTACTCATTTGGGTGTCATTAAACTAATTGGCACTCATTGATTTGTGTGTTGTGATAGCCTCTTATCTCTTAGTAATTCGAATAATTTTCTGAAGCTAATTTTTTTGGTTTTGTGGGATCAGGTACTGCAACTTGACCAATGCGGTCGATGTATGCCAGATTATATTCTGTGTGATACCTTAGCTCGTTCATTTAATAGCCTGCCTGCATTAACTACTATATCGTTGAAAGGTGCATGCCGTCTTTCAGATGCAGGATTAACTGCACTTGTTTCTTCTGCTCCTGCTTTAAGATCTATAAATCTTGGTCAGTGCTCCCTTCTCACCTCAAGTGGTATCAACATTTTACCGGACTCATTGGGATCAGCTCTGAGGGAATTGTATTTAGATGATTGCCAAAGCATAGATCCCATGCATATTCTGCCTGCACTGAAGAAGCTAGAACACTTGGAAGTGTTGTCACTAGCCGGCATTCAAACTGTTTGTGATGATTTTATTCGTAAATTTGTTATTGCACGTGGTCTGACTATGAAGGAGCTTGTTTTAGCTAATTGCGTGTAGGTATCCTTAACATATGCCATGCAAGATGTCATGTAACTTTCATTGTGATTATATTATCTTTTCAAGGTCATCATGTAGAGAATTGTTTAATCATACTACATTCATTTATGTTGGGTGTTTTGAATTTGGTGCAGGAACTTGACTGATTCTTCTTTGAAAGTCATTGCGGAAACTTGTCCTGGATTATGTTCGTTAGACCTCATGAATTTGTGTAAATTGACAGACTCTTCTATTGGATATCTTGCAAATGGTTGTCGAGAAATTCAAATACTAAAATTATGCCGCAATGCATTCAGGTCCTTTTTGTCTCCAAATTGTGCATTAGTCTTTTGGTCCTATATAGAAAAATCAATCCAATACTTTTGAGCTTATTTTTCCTGGGTATCACAGAATTTTGAAATTAGAATATGCAGTATTTTTATTTGAAACTAGTGATGGCAATCAAATGTAATATAAGGCAGTTTGCAGGTTGGGGGATTGGGGGTTAAAACCATGTGATGCCACCAGGGGGTGAAACTAGTAACCTTGTTACTGCAATGGGATCCCGCAGTCCAAAATAATGTCAACTTTATTGACTTCTCTAAATAGAATAAGAAAGATCCCGCAGTCATTTATTGCTAAACCAACATCCTAGTATTGCCCTAGTGAAAGAAGAATTTGACTATACTCAGTTGATTCACATGACCATTAAATTATATATATATATAAAAGAACACAAGACCAGCACATGACTAGGAATTAATGATAAAAAGAGAAAGGGAAAAGAGAAAAGAAGCAAAGCATAGATGAAAGTGGCTGTTGAGTCTTCATTTGCAGTTTGGTTGTGCCTGCATCACCATGTCTTGTGAACACGCACTAATAACTATGTGTTAAGAAATTCTGCAGATGTTCTCTGTTACCTATCTTATTATATATCTAGCTTTTTGTGTTTCTCCTTCCAGTATTATTGATGTCATTTCTACCTACATTGATTATTGCACAAAGTGTTGACACCCTCTAAGTGGAAAATTAACTGCACAAACTTTCCATGTGACATTATGACAGTGATGAAGCCATTGCTGCATTTCTTGAAACCTCTGGAGAGTTTCTAAAAGAACTGTCACTCAATAATGTTAACAAGGTACTAGACTAATAATTTCACTCACTTCTCTCTTTTAAGGATTTGGTTAGGATTTGTCTATTAGCTGGTTCCTATTTGATATCATGGTCTTCTGTACAAATATATTCCATCTTGGTCACTGAGGGGTAAGTGAATTTTTACAGGTTGGCCACAACACTGCTATATCACTTGCCAGGTGTTCAAAACAGTTGGTTAGTTTGGATTTATCATGGTGTCGAAATATTGCAGACGAGGCTGTGGGATTGATTGTGGATAGCTGCTTATCTCTGAAATTGCTCAAACTGTTTGGATGCACTCAGGTATTTATGCAATGCTAGATTCACCTCATATACATGCAAGTCATACTAATTTTGAAATTTCCTTGGGCTCTTGTTGATATATAGTAGAACCACCTTTAGATGCATATAAATTGCTTAATAAGAATCTTGTACAGAACATTTTCTTTTATCTTTTTTTTTTTTTTTTTTTGGGTTAAATGTAAGCCGCTAAAATTTTAGCTTCTCCTTGAATGCTTTATAGCTCAAGCGGTTTGAGCCATATTTTGCATATTAATTAGAGCTGTAACTAAAGGTAAGGGCGGGCTTAATACGAAATCTTGCTATTCCAAGTCACCTATGGATGTAGTTCATCACTAATATATATTGGTGATAGCATGATCTATAGATGCCAGATTAATTAGCATGTTTGCCGTATTTGAATTGGACTTCTGATGTAGGTATGTTTGTTCATTAGTACCATGAATTTTCACATGATGTTATACTTTTTGGTTGGTTGATATAGCAGGGAATTGTGAATTTATGTGTTCGTAACTTTAGTTGTTGATAAAGCAATCCAACTATGTAAAGAAAACTTTCTAATTTTTGGGGAATAGTTAATAAACTGGAGTTAGTGGACATGATTTTCTTGTATAGTAATGATGAGTCACTTCTTGGGTTCCCGAGTTGGATTTAGTTGTTTCTGACTACTGCAATAAATGAATGATTTGCCAACTTTATCAGTTGACTCTACTGTTTGCTTGGATCATGATTTCCATTGTGTTTTACATTTCATTTGAAATGGTACCATATTGTTACTCAGTGCATGAATATTTTTATTACTGCACAAGTAAGATATCTGTGGGATTAGTATACAATGTTTTTTTTCATTTTCTTTTATTACATATTCTGTGTTATGATTCCATTTTTCCTAATGGCTCACCAGAAGGAATTGACCTGTACCTTTAAATGCCATGGGAATCTAAATGGAATGATTTTATTCTTTTGGGACAGCCAGTTTTGTGCCAGTTTGGCTGTATATTGCAATGTTTTTAGCTTAAGATTGATGCCTCATATTTTGAAACACTACATTCAATAGTTTGTATCAAGTACCTTCTAGAATCTTCTTAATATGCTTGTCACTGTACAATGTCTCATTGTGAAGTCTGCACATATTGGTTTGTATTCGTTATCAACATTTTATCTTGTGTAATAATTTTTTCCTCTCAACTTGCTTTTTAGCTCAGTTCATATATGTAATTGCGACATTCAAAATGTTTGTTTGACATGGTGACAATTTTGCAGATTACAAAAGTGTTTTTGGACGGCCACTCAAATCCAGAGGTGCAGATGGTTGGATTGAAGATGACTCCACTATTAGAACATCTTAATGTGCCTGATTTTCTACAAGGCCCTCTGCGTTATTCTCCCATGTCTTCAGTCTGATCCCAGTCTGGTTATTTTGAGTCTCCCTTTATCTAGAGTTGCAAACTCTCCAGTTTGGATGGGATCTATTCCGTCAGTTTAATACCCTCTCTTTTTGTGCACTTGTAATGTGACAAGACATTTTTTGTGTTATCATGTTGAAGTGGAACAATTTAAGTGCATGTCTGCCCTAGTGATTAGCCGCATTGAGGATTTATCCACTTGCTTGTTTTCTTTATGGTGTTTGGCAAATATCTTATTTTGTTGAATTTGTCTTATCCTGCAGGGGAGGAGACTTCCTTTTATGTGGATCCTCCTCTATCACTATGAGAAAGTACAAAGTACCTGTGGATTAAAATCTTAAATTTCTCAGCTTTTTTCACTTGATCTACTGGAGTATGCATTCACTTTGCTTTGATATAAATAATAGTAGCATCTTACCGCCAAAAAGCAGAACTCATTATCTCTCTCAATGAAAGATAGGAATCTGGAAGCGTGGGTGTTGCAACTTGCATACTTAAACTCATTTTAAAGAATTGAGGGATTGGAGATTACTGTTTGGGATTGAATTATATAAAAAGAGGAAGAAGAAGAAGCTCGGCTTTGCTCACGTGTGAGGGAAGAAGGGGTAAAATGGCTTAAATACGAGGGTAAACAAGTGCAAGAGTATAAAATGTGTCATAAGAGGGTATTTAGGTCATAAAAAAATGTTGTTATGTGCATGTCACGCGCACTTAACGGTCGACGGCATTAGCTCGAGGGGAGGTAAATTGCAACAACACTCAAAAGTTAAGCATACAATCTGCAACAGGGGTATTTAGTGCACACTTTTAGGCACACTGACCAATGTCTCACTGGAAACAACAAACAAAATACACTTGAACATGACCTGTTGGAATACAACGTGAAGATATTCACTTGAAAATAAAAATGACAGTTAATTCACACTGTTTTTGATAAAGTACAAAATACCTGTGGATATAAAATCTCAAATTTCTCAGTCTTTTCTGCTTGATCTACTGGAGGATACGTTCACTTTGCTTTCGAAAAATGCCCGGGCTATATGTGGACTTGATCATATCCACAAGAAGTGGAAATTGCAAGGATATAAATAAGGTGATTGGTAGACAGGCCATTGCGGCCACTGGAATAAGAACCCATGCTTTCTTATGGCCAAACACAAGAAAGATTGTTACGCCGAAGGTGATCATCAGGAATGTTATAGAAAGAAATAAGGTTACAAGACCAATGATTAACCTCTTGGGCAGGGCATAGAGAAAATCAACTTCTGCATAGCGAGAAGTGAGAATGGACAAGAACATCAATATTGACGAGAGAGATGAGAAAAGAGAAATTGCATCTGATATGGCAAAGATTATAAAGCCCTTTTCTTTTGAGAAAATTGGGATGCCACTATCGCTATTGTTGCCTCCAGGTACTGTAATGGCTGCTGCAAATACTACAGTGGCAATAAGTGCTGCTGCAACAGTGCATGAAGTTGCTGTTTCTTTCATCCATTTTTCTCCTTCCTTGACCAATTCATTGTGTGCCTCAGTAAATACCATTGCAGGTGTCTTCCCCTTAGAGTTCATCACTTCTTTGTGTGGAGGCAGTACATACTTCTCCACTTCCTGAAATAAAGGAGGTTAGTCAGGAATCAGAGAGCAATTTGCTCTGCCTTTAGGATCACCCAAACGGACACACACACACACAAACCGACCAGATTGGGTGGGTTTGATTTGCTGGAGGTCTAGGTTTTGACATTCTAAGTCCTGTGTGAGAAAAAGTAAAAAAATTCTTTGATCAGTTAATATGTTAGCCCTCTCTTTAGTCTCCCGCTCACCCATACCATCCAGCAAGAATAAATCTGGTGGTGTTAGCCTAAAAAAACTAACCAATTGGCACCCACCTTGTTTGGTCGCATTTAGAAGCTCAGATACCCTACTAAAACACCTGTCTAATCAGATGAGTATTAAGAAGCTATTTACTCTCTTAAACTTGGAGCAGTGAAGCTACTAGATGACACCCCACAGATGGTGGGTTTCAAATATTTTCTTAGTTAGACATAGTACTGACTAGGAAGGATAGGCTCACTGGAACTATTTTTCCCTATAGCTTTAGAAAAATAAGGCCTATAAATATACTTCAAAACAAAAAGAAATGTATCACTTTTTTCTTTTCACCCCAGAAAGAAAAATATTACCTTAAACCATTGTAATTCCCGCTGCATCTGTAGGGCCGCGCCAGAAACAAGATTGAGTTTGGGTTTTGGTGCCAAATTTCCAGCCAGATGCAAGATATTATTCTCGGATTTGTCAGTGAACATTGATAAGAATTGTGTATACTTTCCCATTTGGTAGACGAGGTTGAAAACATTTTCATGTCTATTTATAACTGCAAGATGGAACAGCACATGGTTCTCTTTGTCCCCAAAAGAAATTGCAGCAGGAAATGACTCTACGATCTCTTCTACGAGTTCATGAATTCCAAACTCTACCCCCAAAAGGAATGGCTTTCTCAATATCAAGGATGCTTTTTTGTTATCCAAACTAATGACTTCCGTGCAAAAGCATTTGATAAGTTCAAGTGCTTGATGATGCATCAATTTTGTTGCTCGGATATGCTTGATCTGTGGCACTGCATTAATGCATTTAGAATTAACTCAACCTACATTTAGTTTTAATATGTCTAGTTAAAGTGGCACTTAGTATCCAATACCTAATATTTCGATGACTTTCCAGAGCTTTATATGCAAATTTTGACATGCTGCAAAATGATAAAACCAATCAAGAATAAAAAGAAGGGTACCAGAGGAGATGCTAAATCTTATCAATTTGCTATATCAATCATTGTGGCAAAGGCAATTGGGACACAAGTGGCAGAAACTCAGGAAGCATGAAAATGAAATTTAAAAAAAAAATAATAAAAAATAGAAGTGTCAAGAAGAAAAAAACTGGATTTTGGCCTGTCAGCGTTTAGTAAGAAATAATCTCAACTAGAACATACAGCACTGAAAGTAACATAGAGAATTTCTATATTCAGAAAAATCTCAAACCATATCCAACTCAATCAACACGCTTTAGTAAATTTTTCATTTAAATTCCTTCATTTATCAACTTAAAGGAAGAAAAACAAAAAGGAGAGAAATTTACTTTTGAGTTTTTTCTTTTTTTTTTTTCCTAGGCAGATTTACTATTGAGTTTGCAACAGTAAAAAAGCTAAAGTTCCAAAATCGAGTAAAATAAATTAACAAATTCAATACACTAGAATTTTCTTTTTTGGTTTTTGTGACCATGGTTTGTATACAATTGTGTTCATGTAATTATTTTGCATGATATTTGTATGTTCTTTTACAGTCAAAGTTCAGAACTTCAAACATTTTTGCTTTTCAGCCAGTTTCACACTAGCATGCCCCATTTCAAGGAACTGGAAAACAGGGACTCTTTTACATACCAGAAAGGGAGTGGTTTCCTCCAAAGAATTGAGAGCAGCAGCTCATTTGTACACACACTTGAGAATAATCAGCTGGGTTCTCCGTGTCTCCTCCACTTTGACGGTCTGAGAAATTTTCCAACTTCGCAGGAACACCTAGAAGACATAACAAAAGATAAATAAATGTAATTTTACTCATAAGTCATAACACATACTCTTACTCATCTCACAACCAGGACTTGAACCCTTTTTTCAGGAGTGGGAGGATTTGCCACTTAAACTAACAGCCCGTGGTAGTTTCAATTGTTTGAAGAATGCTTGATATATTATTATATGATATAAATAGAAAAAAGAAAAGACAATTCTTTTAGTACCATAAAAGACACAGAAAAAGAATATGAAATGGATAACAGAGGAGAGTCTAACGAGCATAAATTAACTGTTGCCAACAGTTTAAACGACTTCCACTAGGGAATGCAGAAGGTTTTTGTGCTAGTGCAATCAAAGGAGATGGATGACCCCGTGCCAAATTAGGATAGCGCTGGAGCAGATGTAGAGCGACATCTGTAGCATTGATTTAAAAAAATCAAAAAATTTGTTAGAATAAATCTAAATTTTAGCAGGATTTGAGAATTAGTAGCCTTCTGATAATAAATGCTCACCATATAATCCGCTAGTTATCAATGAACTCATAAGCATAGAACCCGGTTCATTCTCAAATGGTTTTGGCTCCATCTCTTCTCTGGTGATAGTCAATAAACACAAAATCATATTCCTGTGGCCAACCATAGCAGCAAAGTGGAGAGGTAGTTGTTTAACATTGTTCCATTTATTAGGCAAGTCTGGGTTTTTCTTCACTAATAACTTGGCTGCCTCAATGTTGCCGACTCCTGAAATTACGTGAAGGGCTGTGTCACCACCCGTGTTGGCCAAAGCCAGTGCATCCGGTGACATTAACTCCACCAGCTTCTCCAAAAAATGGATTGAATGTCCTGTAGCTGCCACGAGGAGCACCGTATCAAAGGTTTTTGTGATCTTGGCTGTGATTGCATCTGGATCAATCTCGAAAAATCTTCTGGCACTCTCCCAGTCGCCTCTAATTGCAGCTTTGTACAATGGCAGGTACCAGCTGAGATCTTTCTCTGCTGTCTTGTTTTCCACTGTCATTATAAACAGCATTTAAAGGTAGATGAATTAAGGAACAAACAAATTGTTTCGACTTATTCATGCAAATTGTTATTCTTTAAAATTCTCTCATCTTTATGTCAAAAAAGATCAACTAGGAAAATTAGTGCGAGGACAATTTCACAATTTCAATCCTAACTCATGGGGCTAGAGATGGTTGGCAATAAATGAGAAAGTGATTATCAATTTGTTAAATTATGTTGAAGTTTAGTGATAAGACATATTCACCACCAATTGGTTCTGTCTTGGATGTGTTGAGTAATGGCTTCTTTAAAAGAAATATAGGAATTACAAAAATCCCATGTATATATGATAGCAATGAAGTTTAGTAATGCACTAATGCAAGAGCTAAGAAGGGGTGGAACAATTTAGCCTTTTGATTGATAAGGGGGTTGTAGGTAGCAGCTTCACGTAGGTAGCAGCTTCACCTAAGCACTCTCTTACTCTCTCAGCATAGCAACTCACAGAGAGATCTCAAGGCCCATCAATTCTTGAGCAGTACTTTTAATATTGATCCTGGACATGACCATAAAAGTGATGGCAAGTTGCTTTATGGCAAAGGGAGGTGTTGTAGCCACAATATTGGAGTTTTGAGGAGTTGTGAAAGGGGTAGGTGGATTTCACTTGGGAAAGGTATTATTTGTCAATTAATGTTAATATTTAAGTTATAAATGATTTTTGCTTACTGATTCGCCCATGGATGAAGCCCATGAAGGCCTAAGCATCAACCATGAAAAGTCACAGTGTGGTTGGTTTGTTTCACTATTTTCTTTCCATATTTATCGATTTTATTATTGCACATTATCTTTCCGATTTTGACAGCTTAGTGTAACCATGAAACTAGGTTAGTTTGGGATCTTGATTTCTCAATTAAGATCATAACAATTAGTATATAATCGCTGGAGTTAAGTATCTAAACTAACAACTAGTGTCTTGAAATACACAAGGATCTTCAGAGAACAAGAAACAAAGAGAAAAAAAGGAACAAAAACCATAAAATCACAATAGACACAGCACTTAGTTTACGTCCATGGACAATCAGCCAACAGAACAAATCTGTTATGAACTGGAAAAGAATAGTATTCATGAGAAAAAGAATTCCCTACTTTACAACTAGGCTCAATTCATTAATCTCTCTCTCACGAGTCAAATCTAATTCTGTTTTTTTTTTTTTTTTTTTTTTTTTTTTACCACAACTAGGCGCTACATCACAACCATGCTTTCACTGTAGTGGCTACATTCCCTGACCAATCCTATAATGGCATTGCCTAACAATCTGTAAGTTTTAGGAGTACTCGATGAGTTGCTACACCATTAAATCAAGAGTTCTAGGGCCCTACCCAACCTCATTTGTCACCCAAAGAACTATGATGTTCCCACTCCCTACTAAAAGGAACCCCTCATTACACAAGTGGGTAATTTGAAACCATATTTTTCTGACTATATAGTACCCTTCATAGAATAGTTGTCATCCATCACACCCTTAAGAAAGAAAGTGGTGATGTTTTGCCAACTCTACTCTTCACCTTGATAGTAAATCATGCCAATCTATCTGATTAAGATAGGTGATCATATGTATGAATGCCATCGTATCAAAGCACTTACGTGTACCAATTCTTGAAATTTAAAATATCATTTCGAGTCTCTCCCCCCAAAAAGGGTCATTTGCTTCAGTCGTGCATTCTAGCAAACATCTTGTGTACTGGACCTATACACTTTCTTGGAGGTTCAACCAAGTCTGCTGTCAAACATCTTCCTAATCAACCATGGAGCTCTAATATCAATTGTTGTGAATTCAATTACCGGAATCAATAAACTAGTTTTCAGTTGGACAATTAGATTTTAGAGACTGCATTCTGTTGATGGTAGTTCGTGAGTAGGATGAGGAGATCGTTCCACGTAAGCCAAGAAATCTGAGATCAGTATCCAAGTGGAGATCCAAGCAACACAAAGGATTCTCTAGGTATGGAGATTAAGAAAGGGAAGGCCGACTTCGGTACCGTATGAGCTCGAGCTTATCAGAGGATAGCTATTGATGTGGTGGTTGTTGTCTTAAAGGCTGATTAACACCCCTATTTATAGTGTTTACCTCCTCGGTCAATGTCTTTTAGTCCTTTGGCTGAGCCCGCTCTTACCCAAAGGTTTGAGGGTCTCTTCTTCTGACGGATGAGACATTGACGGATGGGCCGCGACGCTTTGCCCCCCATTCAAAAGAGGTAATGGTGCTCCCGAATTAATACGGGTTTTATCAAACGTCTTTTGCAATTAATGCGTTCTTTATCCTTCCTTGCTCAAGCTTAGGTACGAGTGTTCTTTCCCCCTTGTGTTAGCCTTGGGCTGAGGCGAGCCCTTGGATCTCAGCCACCTATCCCCATGTCCTCAGATTCCCATACTTCAGGGGGGATAGGTCCCTTTCGAGGTCCTACCTTCATGACCTCGCAGGGTTCTATCCAAACTTTATCCCAAGGCCTTCTTAACCGAGAAGGGAAGTGCGTAAAACAGATTAGTCGAGGTCGCTCTTTCAGAGAGCACCCTCGAGCGAGCCAGGGGGGGAGGAGCCCATCCGACTAGAGCGGGGTACGTCCACAGTAGAGGAAGGGTAGCGACCCCTTCCTCGGCCAACAAGTTCAGTTATTGGATAGGTAACTCGAGAATACCTAATCCGCCGTAGACACGCCAGGTAAACGCTGGCCAGTTGTGCCTATGTTACAGGGGTGGTGTCACTTAATCAGCTATCGTGGCGTGGTCATCAACATTTTGCCCCCCTACTCGAGGTCGTCAAGAGGGGAGCTCAAGAAATCCACTAACTTAGTTTAATTTGGTCGTCATCATTATTTCTACTAAAGAGTCATGTCATTTCAGCTACGAATAGTCATATCACTTCAAGGGGTGGTGTCGCTTCGGTTTCTCGATCCACGTGTTGCTTCTTTATTGGTGTGTCAGCCTATGACGCTTGGGGTCTCGAGTCGCGTCCTTTCATTAGCCAGAGACGCAACGCTTGGGATGCCGAGCCCTCATTTTTAAGTTGTACCAAGGCATTCTTTCTAAAGGCACAAGCAACACTCATCCTCACTCGCCCCTCGCAAAAGCTTCTTATTCAAAGCAAAAGACAATGGCAGTTCGTGATGATGTCCCCGATGTCCCTCCCTTGAATGAATGGCGAGTTGCCCCATACTTTGGCCCGAGCGACACCTTTTGGGTTAATAGCGATGCACTAAGTGAAGTAAACAAGGCTTAGGAAAGCATACTCTTGTTCGAGGGAGAGCCTTACACGCTCACCGGGGCGCCCATTCATCCTAACTCGATTTTACGATTCAGGGTAGAGCGCGGCGACTTTCCTCATTCCAACGTTGCCTTCACGAGTTAGACTAGTCATGGACGAGGGTGGGAGTTATGGACAGACGCGATTCTATCCGACACCGAGTTCTCAGGAATTTTACAGACTTCAAAGATTACGGACGCAATACGCAACACCCGAGAGTCAACCATACCTCGGGATGTTCACGACCTCGCCCTTCTGCTGTCTCGATGGAGTCGAGATACCCATACTTTTATCACTTCTTGGGGAGAATTCACCCCTACCTTAGAGGACGTGGTGCAACTTATGTGCTTGAATGTGTTTAGTGAACATGACCCCAGCTCTTGGTCCATCCCTGAGGACGAGGTCAAACTTGCCTCCAAGTTTCGTAAAGGTGTCACCTCGGCAGGGAAGATAGCCTCGCGCTATCAAGATACTGGACTTCTTGAGGAGTTCTTGGAGACGGGCAAGAAGTGCACGTTTGTATCACTTCTACGCTATTATTTTCGAGATTTTCCCCCCCAGGGTCAAGAAAGGGAGTAGTCTTTTAGTGGACCGAAGTGCAGGGACTCAGCTCGCCTTGCCGCTTATATCTTATCATGGTTATCCAGATTTGTTTTTTTGGGGCCTCCCGATGATGGGCATTGTCCTGACCTCATTCCCCTGGCCGTCAGGCTATCTTATGGTAAAAGCTTGCCCTTGGCCGCGCTGTTCTTGGGTACTCTTTACCATGAGCTCGACTTGGCGCACGCCCGCATGGAGCGTTCCGTAGGTCGCATGACCGTGGTTTCTCCCGTCAACGCAATTTTCCTTCAGATGTTCTTGTATGAGCATTTTCTGAAGTATGGTCCTCGTCTAACCACGCTGCCTCTTGACAGCAGTTTGAAACGGTCTTTCCAGTGGCACAAACTTAGCACGAAAAAGAAATTGTCTGAGTTTATTGACAAGGAGAGTTGTTTCGTAGCTCGCCCCTACACCCATGGACCTCGCGTCGAGTGCTGCACGTCGAGGGACGGCATGGTGATTTCAGACAAGTCTTTGAAGCGTACTCCAGCCTTGACCATCCTAGCCATGACCTCGCCTGGCTATCTTCCCGTGCTTCTTCCCCTTCACTCGGGCGTAGGTAAGGTTTACAACCCTCACAGGGTGGCTCGACAGGATCACAACACCTATGCTCTAGGCTTTTCGCGCTTCCTTGATTCTGAAGAGGCAGAGCTCCTCGGGGATCGCCAAATTCTTCATGTGCTCTTTACTCTTAGGGTTGGGAGATGGGCTGTAAAGACAAGGGCATACTGGAAAGAGATAATTCTTTCTTTTAGGAAATTTGTAAGTAGCACTCCTATCCCTGTCCCTGCTCGAGCCTTGCTAAAGGGTGATGCCTCGTTTCGCACTTTCAAGAATACATCTGTATCCGCGCGAGGTAAACCTTGTGGTACGGCGGGTTTATTTCCTTTACTCTTACCAGCCGCAACCGCGCCTGTGATAGCCCTCCGTGCTACCAAGGCGCGCCGGGACAAACGCAAGGCTGATCAAGACATCAGCACCTTCGTTCCTCCAGCCGTTTCCTCAAAGCGAGCTAAGGTAAAAAAATGTATTTTACATCTACTTTCTTATCAACTCCGTGCTGATTAGTTTATTTATTTTTTATTAGGATGCTCCAAAGGCTCCTGCTATTGC